GATATACATATACGTATATGTGTATACTTATGTATATTTTCTATTTATACATATATGTATACGAATTTAAGAAAAAAACGTGACTCAGAAGGCATAAAAAAGTTGAATTTCTAGAATTTACAAGAAAGCCTCGACGCGTTTGCGGAGGCGAACCCCAGATATACATATACATATGTGTATATATTTATGTGTATTCTCCACTATTATACATTAAAAGAAGATAAGAACACATATAAGTAAACAAATTTAGGGAAAAACCTGGCCTAGAAGGCATAAAAAGACTGAATTTGTAGAAGAACTCACAAGAAAGCCTTGACGCGTTTGTGGAGGCGAACCATGAATTCCTTGCGCAGTGCCTCGAAGGGGTATTGGGGAAACGCGTCGGAGAGGTCGACGACGGCGACGCCCTTTTTTTTTAGCTGCGAAATGATGGCTGCGATGCTGCGGTCTGCGGCTAAGTCGTCGAGGCGGAGGCTGTTGAAGGCTTGCTGCAGCTCCGCCACTTTTGCTGCTGCCAGCGCCCGAAAGCGCTCCGAGAGCAACTTGTAGCTGCTGCTCGCTGCTTCCTGTGCTGCAGCCAACACCACCTTCAGCTGCTCCTGAATTGACACTTCCAGCGACAAGTAAGACGCGTTCAACATCTGCAGGTCCCGCGCAGTCTGACGCACAGCAAATCCCACACACACTTACGGTTTGCTGCTGCAGTGCTGCTGCAGTGCTGCTGCAATGTTGCCGCTGCAGTGCTGCTGCTGCAGTGCTGCTGCTGCTGAAAATGCTGCAGTGCTGCTGCTGCTGCAATGCTGCAGTGCTCCTGCTGTTGCTGCTGCTGTTGCTGCTGCTGTTGCTGCTGCTGCTGCGCTGCTCACTGCTTCCTGTTTGTCCCTGAGACGCGCGAGCTCGGCCGCAAGGACTTCTTGCTGGCTAGCGATGCGGCTCCAGTCTTGAGACTCTCTCTTTTGAGCCAGCAGTTCTGTAAACTTTTCAATTTCCGCATTTCGCAAACTCACAAGAGCCTCCGCCCCTCCAGTCACGGCCGCAGCCATCTCCTCCAGCTTCGCTGAGTAGCTGTCTGTACGTACACCCCAACAGCCAAAAATTTTGCATGTGCAAGTGCTCACTTGTGCACACAGAGGCAGTGTACCTACACCCCAGCCACGCAAGACTGGTTCTGCACACATGCAAATGTGTATTCACTTGCAGGCATTTTCATGCGTGCATGCATGCATGCCTGCATGCATGCATGCATGCAAATACAAATGCATGCATGCATGCATGCATCCACTATCCTTGCATTTGAATAGGCTCAACTGCGAGGTGGACAGACACAAAAAGGCGAAAACGCCACTTCAAGAGCTGCAGCAAACGCAGCCAACAATAAGAAAAGATAAATATGATAAAACAAATGATCCGAGCCACTAAAGCAGCAAATAATTCGGAAAATTAAATAAAAAGTAATCCAAATGATCCAAAAAAGAAGAGAGAAAGCAGAGAAATGATCTGCAACGCCTCGTGGGCTAAAATGCAGCAGCAATGCAACTCCCAAGGCAGCTAAACGAAAGAAGCAAAAGCCCGCCAACCAATAAAAACCAATTAATCAATTTTAAATATTAAAAAATAATTAATTACTTAATCTGAATGTATCCACGCAGACAGTCATCCTAGCGGCGACGAGCCTGAGGGAGTCAATTGAAGCCTCGATTGGTAAAAAAAAGTCAAATTTTGAATTAAAAAGGTAAAAATTGAAATAAAAAGTGAAATTAGAATAAAAAGGTGAAAATTAGAATAAAAGAGTTGAAATTGGAATTAATTTTGAATCAAAAACAAAATGAATTAAATTCCACTGAGTGGTTTGCTGACTGAGTTGCTCCCCGATTAGCTGCGAGCGGACCTCGCACTCATGTTTGTAGGCCAGCGCGCCCTGCAGCACGCGCTGCACTCCAGCAGCAGCAGCAGCAGCAGCAGCAGCAGCTTCCTCCACTGCTGCTACCAGCTGCTTCGCCGTGAGCTTCTCGGGGCTGCAGTCTTGGGAGCCTGCGCAGGAGCCGTAGTCGCCGACAGCAGCAGCAGCAGCAGCAGCAGCAGCTGCTGCTGCTGCTGCTGCTGTTGACGGTCGTTGGGAAGAGCTCACAGGACCCAGCAACTCTGCTGCTGCTGCTGAAGACTCTGCTGCTCCTGCTGCTGCAGCAAGGCGTGGGCGGGAGGCTGCTCCTGCTGCTCCTGCATCTGCGGCCTGTGCTGCTCGTGCTGCTGCTGCGCTTCCTTGTACTGCAGCCGCATCAGCTGCTGCTGCCACTCCTGCGGCTTTTGGCCCCACTAAGGCCCCTGCTGCCAGCTTTGCTGCTGCTGCTGCTGCTGCTGCTGCTGCTTCACTCTTCGCTCGCAACTCTGCAGCCGCACCTTCTATGCTGCTGCGCGCCAGCAAGTCCGCGGGGGGGGCCCCCAGGGGGCCCCCCACATGGGGCCCCCGTCCTGAGGTGCCCTCTGCGGGCTTTTCTGCTGCGGTCTGGGCCCCCAGCAGCAGCAACTGCAGCAGCAGCAGCAGCACCAGCAAGGGGGCGCGCTGGTGGCCGCGCCGCTGCGCCGGCCACAGCAAAGGGCCCATTGCGGGAATAGCCTTTCTGCTGCTGATATTTGCTGCTGCTGCTTTCACTTAGAATGCTGCAGGCTGGTGGAGCACCGCCGAAGCAAATGCATGCATGCAACAAAGCCCCAAAGTGCTGCTGCAAGCCCCATAGGCCACTGGCCCCTGATGTGCATGCGAGCGCAGCAGCAGCAGCAGCACGAGGCTCAGCAGCAGCAGCTGAGGCCCCAGGTGCCTGCGAAGTGCAGCAGCTGCTGCAGCAGCAAGACAACCAGCACCAGCAGCAAGTGATGCCCTCTCTGCAACGTCTTTGAAAAGTCTAAGACAGCAGCAGCAGCAGCAACAGCAGCAGAGCAAAGTTGATGAGTGAGGCCTCGCTGAGGCGGCTGAGTGGGATTTTGCTGCTGCTGCTGCTGCTGCCCCTCTTAAAATGCTGCCCTGAGATCGACAGACCAGGGAGCCTCAAAAGATATTCCGCTGTTGCTGCTTGTGGCGCTGCGGCCACTGGTGTTGCTGGCGCTGCTGCTGCTGCTGCTGCTGCTGCTTTTGCCTTGAGTCCCACGCTGCAGCCCTGTAGGGCCTTGGCTTGTCTTCTTTGGATTTCTGAGTCCCCTGCGTCTCAAAAAGCTGGTAAAAATGAGAAGAAGATAGGACGCTGCAGGTGCTGCTGCAGGTGCTGCTGCAGCAGCTGCTGCAGCAGATCTTCGGCTGTCGACGGCTGCTGCTGCTGCTGTAGCCTTCGCTGGGGCAGCAGCAGAGCCTGCTGCCTGCTGCATGTAGCAGATCTTTGCAAATATCTTTTAAATAGTTATTTGCTAAACAGAATTTATCCAAATTTGCCACAAAAGATATTCTCTTAAGTCTGAAACGCATGCAAAGGACTGAAGCCACCCCGGCGACGCAAAACTTGCTGCTGCTCCGGAGCTCGTTCACTGAGCCCCCCTTTCTGAGCGAATTTTCCAGCTTTTGTTTTTCCTGCATGTCTTTGAAATTAAAAAATAAATTAATTACAGACACTGCGACAAAGTCGAGAAGCTAAGCAGCAACACTGCAGCAGCAGCAGCAGCTGCTGCGCCAGGCGGGGACAGTTCTTGCAGCGCCGAAAACCCACACTGCGGGACCCCTGGACCGTTTGCTGCTGCTGCTGCTGCTATTGTTGTTGCTGCAGCTTGTCTGCCACAAACTGCGCAGCCGCGTTGTTGCGTGCTGCAGCGGCATTTAAGCAGCTTAGGGAGCGTGCTGCAGCACAAGCAGCAAGAGGCAGCAAAAGGGTCTTGAGAGAAAAGAAAGAAATTCCAAAATCCTCTCCAAAGGCCAACAGGGACAGCTGCTGCTGCAGCAGCAGGGGAGCAGCAGGGGCCCCACAGCAGCAGCCGCACTGGGGGCCCCTAAGGCCCAGGCTAGCTGGAGGGTTAGCTGCTCGCAAGTAGGCCCCGAGAGCAGCAGCAGCAGCAGCAGCAGCGGCAAGGGAAGCTGCAGCTGCCGCTGCAGCGGTCTGGGGGTGCTCCCTGCTTGGCAGAAGTCTCTTGCTCTTGGGACTGCCGTAGAGGCGCTACTGCTGCCTTGCTGCTGCCTTGCTGCTGCATTGCTGCTGCGCTGCTGCTGCGTTGTTGCTGCGCTGCTGCTGCTGTGAGGCCCCCCTGGGGCCCTTTGGGGCCCTCTGAAGAGGAAGAGGCCGAAGGGCAGCTAGCCAGTAGCGCCCTCAGACGGACATTTGCTGCACAGCTAGCTGCTTAGCTAGCTGCACAGCTAGCTGCTTAGCTAGCTGCTTAGCTAGCTGCTTAGCTAGCTGCTTAGCTAGCTGCTTAGCTGGACTGCGGGGCCAACACTTCGGAGAAGCAAATGGGCTCGAAAAGAAGAATAAGGAAGTGCAGCAGCAGCAGCAGCAGCCGCAGCAGCAGCAGCAGGACTTCCTGGCAATAGTGGTGGAACTAAAGCATAGAAATGGCAGCAGCAATTAAAACAATTAAAGAAATAATTACAAGAGAAAAAGTAATAATAATAACAATAATAAGACCGGCGATTGTAATTACTATTAATGGCAAACAAAATAATAATTGAGATAATTAAAATGAGAATAAAAAAAATAAATAATAAATAAATAATGAAGTAGTAATGGGAATGGCAATAGTGGCAAAAGTAGTAATGAGGAAATATTAATAAATAATAAAACCCTAATCGTTTAACCTTAAGGATCAAACGACCCCCTGCGCCCCTAAACCCTAAACCCTAAACCGCCCTTTATTTGCTGCAGCAGTCGAATTATGAAGAGGCGGAGCAGGCGCAGTAGCCTCACAGTTAAGACAAGACAGCTGCAACATAAAGAAATTAAAGTAAAGTAGCTGCTGCTGCAGCAGCTGCAGCAGCAGCATTTGTTGCTGCTGCTGCAGCAGCCGCAGCAGCAGCTACAATCAGCAGTTTATTTTTTCTTTTTGCCATCTTTTGCTGGCGTTCTTTCTTTGGCCTTTTGTTCAATACTTTTTCTCAAGTTATTTTGCAGTATTTGTCTGGCTAGGGGGTCGCGGCTGCGTGTTGCTGCTGCTGCTGGGGCTGCTGCTGCTGCTGCAGCAGCAGCGCGGAAGGCCCTCTTGGCAGCAGCAGCAGCAGCAGCGCCGCAGCCGTGCACCTCCGGCATTGCGTGCTGCAGACAAAATCTGCTGCTGCAGTGGGGGCAGCTGCGGCCAAGCCAGTCTGTTGTTTCTTTGCATGCGTCCATGCTGCAGCGCTTGTTTGCTGCTTGCTGCTGCTGCAGCAGCAGCTCTAAGTCCTCCTCGCTCTCCTCCTCCTTTCCCGCTTCAGCCTTGCGGCCCTTGCGTGCCCTGCCCCGCCCCTGCTTCCGCTGCTGCTGCTGCTGCTGCTGCGGCTCGGAGGCTGCTGCTGCTGCTGCTGCTGCTGCCGCTGCTGCTTCATCTTCTCCCCCAGAAGTCCGCAGCTCCAGCGAGCTGCTGCTTTCTTCTTGTGTCTCTTCATCTGTCTCCACTTCCGAAGGCCTTTTCTTTTCTGTTGCTGCTGCCCCTTTGCCTTTGCTCCCGCGCGCGCCCCCCGCTGCTGCTGCTGCTCCCTCCTCCCCCGCAGCAGCAGCGGCAGCAGCAGCAGCAGGCGCCCTCACCCAAACCTCCACATGCCTCTCAAGACCCTCTCCCCTAGACTCATGCCCCAGCTGCAGTTCTGCTGCCAGCTGATGGACCAGCAGCCGCTGATAAGAAGAAAGAAAAGAAGGAAATGAATAATGCCATTCGCTAGGGGGCCCCCGGGGGCCCCCGGGGCCCCCAAACTCTGGGCTGCCCCTGTGGCCCCCAGACTCCGGGGGGCCCCCGGGGGCCTCAGGTCCCGGGGGCCCCCCTGGGGCCCCCTTAGACTCTAGGGGGCCCCTGGGGGCCCCCTCAGACTTCAGGGGGCCCCCGGAGGCCCCCTTAGACTCCAGAGGGCCCCCAAGGGCCCTGCGGCGCAGATCTTCAAGCAGCTGCCGCGTCTCCCTCATGAAGGTATCTTCAGGGGGAGTGGGGGCCCCTTGGGGGGCCCCGGCACTCTCGCAAGCAGCAGCAGCAGCAGCAGCAGCAAGAGCAGCAGGAGCAGCAGCAGAGCGGTTCCCCTGCTGTTTCTTCAGGACGCGAGGCTGTCCGTTAGCTGAGGCCGCTGCAGCGCCTTTGCCGCTGCTCCTGCTGCTGCTGCTCGCTGGCCTTGGTTGCTGCTGCTGCTGCTGTTGCTGCTGCTGCAGCAGCTGCTGTAGCTGCAGCTGCTTCTCCGTCAGGGGCGGGACATCTGCTGCAGTCATGAACTCAAAAGGAACTCGAAGAGACCCCACAGTGGAGGCGATTTCATATAACACAGAAAGAGCCTCTCGGACATCCGGCAGCTGCAAGTCGCCGCTGCTGCTGCTGCTGCTGCTGCTGCTGCTGCTGGTGCTGCTGGTGCTGCCGCTGCTGGTGCTGCTGCTGCTGCTGCTGCTGGGGCTTTGCTTGGGGGCGCGGGCTACAGTCTCCGAGTCTCCGATGATGACTAAGTGGCTGCGGGCTCTGGTAGCAGCAACATTTAGTCTTCTGGAGTCTTCAAGAAATCCAATTTGTTTGCTGCTGTTGCTGCGGACAAGAGAAATAATAATGACTTCTTTTTCCCTCCCCTGGAACCCGTCCACAGTCTGCACGCAGACCTCCTGCAGCAGCCCCCCCTTGCTGCTGCTACTGCTGCTGCTACTGCTGCTGCTGCTGCGCGCTGCTGCTGCGTCTGCTGCAGCAAGCAGCTGGCGAATCAGCTGCGCCTGAGCAGCATAAGGAGTTATAACTCCAATTTCTTTCGGAGGAATTCCAAAATCTTCGACAAGTTCCTGCACGTATTTCCGTGCAAGTGCTGCTTCTGCGCGGTTGCTGCGCGAGCAGCGCAGCCCCGCTGCTGCTGCTGCTGCTGCTGCTGCTGCTGCTGCTGCAGCGGTGGGGCGCGGGGGGCCCAGCTCGTCCTCCTGCAGCCAAGATATGCCCGCGGTGTCTATCCAGACGACCGGCAGCAGGGAAGCAACAGCAGCAGCAGCAGCAGGAGTTGCTGCAGCAAGGGTGCGGGCGTGGAGGCCAGCAGCAGCAAAAAGGCGGTCGCCGTAGAAGCAGCTGCTGCTCCAGCGCATGATGTGGGGGTGCATGCGGAATTGACACAGCAGCTGCTGCGCTGCAGCAGCTCCCAGCAGCAGCTGCTGCCGCTCAAACAAAGACTTTCCTAAACCCTTAAAAAGGGCCCCACAGCTCTTCACTGTTGGCGGCAGCTGCAGATGATCTCCAGCCAATACGCAGCGCCGGCCCAGCAGCAAACCGATCCAGCAGCAAGCCTCCACCGCCTGCATGCACACACACCTGCTGCTGCTGCTGCTGCTGCTGCTGCTG